AGTTAGGGCTTATTTTTCTACTTAGGGCATATTTTTCTACTTTGTGCACATCTTTTTTTTTTTTGTATTGTCCTACACTCCCCTTCCTTTTTTGATTGTAAGCCGCCCTGAGTCCCCTCAGGGAAAAGGGCGGCCTATAAATAAACAAATCTAAATCTAAAATCTAAATCTAAATCACTCCCCCCCCCCAAAAAAAAACCCCTAACATCACAGCTTGACTTTTTTGAAAACTTCCTGCAAACAACTGTTGCAGTTTCTTTCCATGTTCACTCAGAGGTCCTTTCAAAATGAATTTCTCTTCCTGATCAGTAGTCATAGATATTTGTAGTGTGGACCAACGAGTCCCCCACAATGTGAATAGTGTCATTCATGTACACTGCAATGCACAGATTCGAGGTGCTTCTTTTACACAAAGATGTCACAGGACATGTGTCATTTTGAGGTTATAGCTCAGGACTTTTGCACTCAAGGGGAGGATATCCAGGGTCTCTCTCTTTAAACAGCAATGCGTATTATTTGATATATGGGGCAAATCACCCCAGCTGTCTTTGGGGTGGGGACCACCAGGCTTTTTAAGATTAATAAATAGGCATGTTAGAAAACCTCTTTTTTTTGTAGCAAGGTAGAGTAGGAAAACCTTGAATGCTTCTTTCTATCTTTCACCAAGCAAAATCAAGAGAGTTTTATTTTGCAGTTGCTTCTTGTGTTTTCCACTTTCTTAGGAATGAGCAGTTGTTTTTTCTGAAACTCCTTCCTTAATGGTCCACTATTCCTTCCCCATTCCTAAGCTACGCTCTTTCAGAAGAATGTTGTTTTTTTCCTGAAAAAAAGGCTTAACGTTGCCTTAACATCTTGATATAGCCACACTATTCTTTCAATACTATGCTGGAAACATAGATTACAAAGTCCTCGACTTATAAAAGTTGATTTAGTGACCGTTCAAAGTTATAAAGTTTTCCTCGAACGTCATCACCCTGCTATACAAATAATTCCCCTCAACATTGTCAAACTATTTATTAAGTCTGCATTACTATTACTATTTATCTTCTCATCGTTCCTTTCACCTATCTCCTCCCACTTACGATTGTATGACTGTAACTTTGTAGCTGGTGTCCTTATGATTTATAGTTTCCTAGTATGATTTGATTGCTTATTTGTACCTTATGACTATCATTAAGTGTTGTATCTTATGATTCGTGACGAATGTATCTTTTCTTTTTATGTACACTGAGATCATATGCACCAAAGACAAATTTCTTCTGCGTCCAATCACACTTGGCCAATAAAGTATTCTATTCTATTCTATTCTATTCTATTCTATTCTATTCTATTCTGCAATGGCAATGGAAAAAGTGTGTTATGACCATTTTTCATACGACTGTTGTGGCATCCTCATGGTCATGTAATCAAAATCCAGATGCCTGGCAATTGACTCTTACTTACTTATGACAGTTGCTGGGTCGTGGGTCATGTGATAACTTTTTGTGATCTTCTAAAAAGTAAGGTTAACGGGGAAGCTGGATTCCCTTAATTGTGTTACTAACTTAACAACAGCAGTCACTAACTTAACAACTGTAGCAGGAAAGGTTGTAAAATGGGGCAAAACTCAATGTCTCACTTAATAACATAAATGTTGGGCTCAATTGTCATAAGTTGAGGACTACCTGTATTAATAAAACAGAGAAGTCTGAAAAGCAGAAGATATTGTGACTTGATTTATACACTGCAGTTAGTTAATATCAAGCTTGTATATTTGTTTTAAGACAGGACTCCTTGATTAATACATATTCTTGCCTAAGCTGGTGCCCTACAAGTGAGTGGGATTGTAAATTCTTTATTGGTTTAGGATGGAAGTTGTAGCTGCAGCCACCTGGAGGACCCTAGTTTAAAAATAGTAAACCTGGAAATAAATGGTCACCCTTAGACTACAGATGGAAGACCCATTTTGAATGTTTCTGGATAAAAAATGAAAACAAAACAAACCCCTTCGGTATTGTACCACACATGTAAACGTAGATATTTTATTTTTAACACAAGAGAAGTAGCACTGCACTAAACATATTTTATTAATTGATCTTTCTTTCTTGAAAGAGTACAGGGTCTCCTGCTTGAGTAAGAGGTTGGACTAGAAGACCTCCAAGGTCCCTTACAGCTCTATTCTGATTGATTGATCATTATGTGAAAAACCTGCTTAACAATGCTTGAAAGGTTGCCAACCAAAATTCACAAGACCTCCTCTAACAAGAAACATGAGGAAATCATTTGGGAATACATTCAGTAAGCAAAGTTCCAACCCTGATTTATGTTCTTCCATGGCCTTTTCGAAAAATACCAAGTTGATGTCTTTCAAAAAGGGATCCACCAAGGTAGATTCCCATCACATCACTCAAACCCTGTTCTTGTTTCTTGAAGAGGGTCAAGCAATGGCAGGAAGCTGGTCTGATCCCACGGCAGATAAATATCACAAGCCATCCTGTTGGCAAGACAAAACCATTTTGTAATGGGCTATAGTCTTTGTGGGATTTCTAAGGGTGGAAAGTGTATAAGACACTCTTGATAGGTAAAAAAAGGTCCCCTTCCTTATATATCACCTGTTGAGACCTCGGTGGCCACCCAGCCTCCCATCTAAGATTGGAGGGATCTGTATCCATTTTACCTTTTGAAAGGTCATGAAGATGTGGCTCTCCCCTCAAACACTGGATTAGCATGAGCCTTGACCTGGGAGGCTATTTGGTCTGGTGCCCGGATTATTTCTCTTTTTATGGACTGCTGCAACCAGCCTAGAATTATGCTGTGAGATAGGCAGTCAGGGAAGTCTAGCAAACAAGCAAATAAATCCAACCGGTTAAAGTTCTTTGGTTACTATAGAACTGCGGCAATAAGGATTTTGTTTCTCAATTTTTAGTGGACCTTCGTCTAATTGCAAGAAAACTTCAAGCCCTCAAGATGCCTTAACAGTTGTTTTCATTTGCTCCATGCAAATGAAATTCTATCCAGATGAGAAAGTTCCCAGATCCAATCCAATCAGAGCAGAGCTGGAAGAGACCTTGGAGGTCTTGTAGTCCAGCCCCCTGCTCAAGCAGGAGACCGTTGTCCAGTCTCTTCTTAAAAACCTCGTGTTGAAGCACCCACAACTTCTGAACGTAAGCCCGTTGCACTGGTTGATTGTTCTCACTGTTAGGAAGTTTCTCCTTAATAATTCTAGGTTGCTTCTCTTCTTGATTAGTTCCCATCCATTGTTTCTTGCCTTCTGTGCTTTGGAAAATAAGTTGACCCCCTGTATTTTGTGGCATCCCCTGAAATACTGGAATACTGCTATCCTACCAGGTTAAGAGTGATGAACGATATTAACCGTATCCCCCCACCCACCCCAGCAGCCAGCGGGAAGGAGACCGTGTGCATGCTGCGTCACGTGAATCGAGAAGGGGGGCCGCTGGGACTCTGGGGCTTTCTCCGCCCAGACTCCGCCTTCAGCAAACCTCCGGCCTGAGCTGGCGAAATCGAGTGGTCGGCGGCGGCTGCGCACGTCCTTCTGGATCGCTCAGCAGCTTTATAAAAGGGGCGCGAATCTCTTTGTCCGGCAGAGCTTGGTTCCTGCTTCAACAGTGCTTGAACGGAACTGGTTCCACCGCCTTTTCTCTTCTTTTTTCCCTCCGTCTTGGATCGCCTCTTCCTTCCTTCCCTGAGTAGAAAACAGTCGAGGGAGCGACTCGCTGCTTGCCGATCTTCCGCCTCCAGCAGGATCTCCTTGGGCCGGACGCCTCTACCTTCTTCCAGACCACCGCAGAAATGGACTCCCAGATCCGCCAGAACTACCACCGCGACTGCGAAGCTGCCATCAACCGCATGGTCAACATGGAGCTGTATGCCAGCTACGTCTATCTCTCCATGGTGGGTAAACGGGGCAGTTTGCGTAGAGGCAGTTTGGTCAGATGGTTAGCTAAGAGCCTGAGTTCTAGTCCCACTTCAGCATGCAAGTCAGCTGGGAGACTTTGGGCCAGCCCCTTTCTAATTTGACCTAACTCACAGGGTAGTTGTTATGGGAAGGTAGGAAGAGAAGTCCATTAGAATAGAATTAATAGAATAGAACAACAAAGTTAGAAGGGACCTTGGAGGTCTTCTAGTCCAACCCCCTGTAGCAAATATTAGGTATGTTCCGCTCTTAGTTATAAAAATAAAAGGAATCTTGGGCAGCCTGCCTCTACACCCCTTATCCCCAGCCTAGCTTAGGGTGATGGGAGTTTATCCTCTTCCCCATCTGGAAGTCTGTGCAAGGCTGATAAAGAAAGGCGTAGTTGTGGCTCCCCCTTGGGCGGTTAGTGCAGTAATCCCTTTTCTTGGCTAAGTAACCTAAGGGCGCCTTTCTTTGACTGAGTAACTTTTTCTCTAGGGAAATTATCAGAGAATTGTTCTCTAGGAAAAGAAGTGGTGGCAACCAGGAAGGATCAGAGATGTCAGATTTGGGGAAGAGGTAAACAGCACGGGAGCTAATTTCTGCACACGCAGTAATTTACTTCACACACGCAGGGGCATTTTAGATGCATGGGTGCTCTGGAAAGCAAACGGAAGGCGCAACCAGCCTCCTTACTCAGGCGTATAGCTCTATCTTAAAACAGTAGGAATTAGCATACCTGATAATGATGCATCTGACATAGTTTCAGTCCAGGCATTGTCTCTCAACCTTGCCAATTTTAAGATGTGTGGTCTTCCAGCTCTCAGAATTTTCCAGCCAGCAGTGAAGTCCACACATCTTAAAATTGCCATGGTTGTAGACCAGTCTTTCTCAATCCTCTAACAACTTTTAAGATCTGGGGGCTGAGGAATTCTGGGGGCTGAGGTCCAGCATATCTAAAAAGTTGAGAAACGCTGATCTAGACCAACTATGGTGCCTGCAACCTCCAGAGTTCTGGGAGAATCTAGTGGTTCAACATGACAGTTTATAATCATAAAATGTTAAGATCTTTATCCCTTTGTTTCATTTAACTTTGAGAAACGTTCTTCAGGCATGTCAAGTTTGAGGAACGCCAGTTTCTTTAGACCATCTCCATGCTGACTTGGGAATTCTGAAAGTTGAAGTCCACTTATCTTAACATTGCCAAGTTTGAAAAAAACACTGGTGTGGACTACAGATTAACCCTGCGGCTACTATTTTTCTTGTTCCAGTCCTGCTATCTTTTTCTCACTTGTCCAAGGAGCCGTTGGATAGATCTACACCAGAAAATATAGAGATAAGCCTACTGGAGCACAAAGACAAGATTTCTGTTTCTTTCTGCAGGCTTCGTATTTTGACCGGGACGATGTGGCTCTTGCGAACGTCTCCAGCTTCTTTCGGTCTCAGTCACATGAGGAGCGGGAGCATGCTGACAAGTTGCTGAAGTTTCAGAGCCAGCGTGGGGGCCGGGTCCTCCTACAAGATGTCAAGGTATAATAAGTGTAGCCCAAATTTCTGCTTATCTAAGAGATGTTGAGAAAATAGTATTTTTTTAGTCTGGCTGCCCTCCAGATGTTTTAGAATTAAAAATCCTATCACTCAATGAAACACTATTGGGTGGGGGCGACATTGGGGCAAGTTTAGGCTTGGAAGAATGTCCCAGAAATGGCAACTATGTCCAGGTGCTGAGAGATTAGGGGAAAATGCTTCAAAGAGATTCTATCTTCATTAACTCATCAGAGGTACGGCTGAGAATTTCCTCTTATATTTTTCAAACATCTGTACAGTTAGTCCTTGACTTAGGATCACAATTGAGCCCCAAATTTCTGTTGCTAAGCGAGACAGTTCTAGGTGAGTTTTGCCCATTTCACAACTTCGTTAAGTGAATCACTGCAGTTGTTAATTAAGTAACAAGGTTGTTAAGTGAATCTGGTTTTCCCATTGACTTTGCTTGTCAGAAGGTTGCAAAAGCTGATCGTGTGACCCCGAGACCCTGCAGCCGATGAGTCAGTTGCCAAGCATCTGGATTTTGGTCACATGACTATGGGGATGCTGCAATGGTCATAAGTGTGAAAAACAGTCAAAAGTCACTTTTTCCCAATGCCATTGTAACTTCAAATGGTCCCTAAATGAACTGTTGTAAGTTGAGGACTATCTGTATTTATCCCTTTCTGAATTTAGTGTCATTTCTGATTTGCCAGCTGTTTTAAGCCTATGGTCTTTATTTAGTGTGGCTCTGCTGAGTTTGATGGAAATTGTAATCGCAGCAGATTTGGGGAAGGGAGTGTTTATAGGGTGCCTATAGCAAGATTGGCAGGCCTCCCTGAATCTGGGTTTATATATCACACTGACTGAGCCATAATGGCTGTATTCATAAAATCCAATCATCCTTGAATAACTTAACTATGGTGATTCAGTTAATTACTATTGATATTGATATCCACAGTGCAAGAGACCTACCAGGTTCTGCAGATCCTTAAAAAGCTCTGGAGTTTGCTTTTGTTTTAGCCCCTGGAGCTTTTTGGGTGGGGGAAGGGAATGTGTGTTAAGCCTGTTTGCACACATTCCTTTCTTTAAAAAAATAAAATAAAGTTGCTTTATTTATGCAATCTTCTCAGAATCATCAGGCAGTCACACAGACTTCTAAATTTAATAAACACATTTCACCATCAACTGACAATGCAATTTGGGTTTGATCAGGCCATGCATTAATTAATGTGCATTTGGCTAGTCATGCAAACTCAGCCATTATTGGGGTTGGGTTAGTATTATCTATTTGTATCCCCCCTTTATTATTCTTACAAATAACCCAAGGTGGTGAGCATAGCTAGCACACCTTCCTCCTCTTTAGTTTACCCAACAAAACAAGCTTGTGATGTGTGTGGAGCTGAGAGAGAATGACTGGCCCAAAGCCACCCAGCTGGCTTTCTTGGCTAAAACAGGTCTTGAACTCGCGGTCTCCCAGTTTCTAGCCTGGTGCCTTAGCCATTACACCAAACTAGGCATTGTTGTCTATGTACTATGCAACTTTGGTATGTGAGCTCTGGTCTAGCATAATAGGTAAATAGCAATTAGCCTTGCCAAAGTTGCTATTGTGGGACCAAACTATCCAGCCATTAAAACGAGGAGCCACAAGATCTAAACAAAGTGCTTTCCCTCCACAGAAGCCCGAGAAGGATTCTTGGGGAAACATCCTGAATGCCATGGAAGCAGCACTCCAGCTGGAGAAGAGCGTTAACCAGGCCCTTCTGGATTTGCACCGTTTGGCGAGCGATCAGGGAGACCCACATGTGAGTCTTATGATTGGGGGGTATGATCAGAATTCTTCACCCTCATCACCAAATTCCCACTAGGTGCTCATGTCCCCAGTCTAAGTAAGATTCCTTTGCACAAACACAAAAAGTGGGCTGAAATTGTCTTTTACTTCATGCAAAGGAAAAATAGAAGAGGCCACTGTAATGTAGCTGTGTTGATGGCAGTGGAGATAAGAGAGCAAATTAACAGTAAACCCCGATTCAGTGATTTAAAGGAGATCCATAAAGGTGCCTTTGAAGCAGTAAATCTGAGACTTGGCACCAGTCCAATTTGAGTCCTGTGCTAGAATACCATGTACATTTTTGTAGAAGTAAATGGTCAAAGTTAATGAACGGATGTGTGGTTAGAATGATGCTGACCCTAGAACAAGGTTTTTCAACCATGGCAACTTAAAAATAGGTGGACTTCAACTTCCAGAATTCCCTTGCCAGCATGGAGAATTCTGGGAATTGAAGTCCACGTATCTTGAAAGTTGCCAAGGTTGAAAAACCATGTCCTAAACACTGAGACTGCAAGCTGTGTATAACTCTATTGTCTGCATTTCTTTCCAGCTGTGTGACTTCTTGGAATCTCATTACCTCGATGAGCAAGTCAAAGCTATCAAAGTCCTGGGTGACTACGTTACCAATCTCCGGCGCTTGGGTACATCCCAGGGAGGGCTTGGCGATTATCTCTTTGACAAGCACACCCTTGGACAGAGCAGCAGCTGATTTCACCTTCCCCCCCAATTCCTGGGAGTCACTTCCCATGAACCCACAAAAACCAGCCCACATCCATCACTTTTGCTGTGCCCCGGTCAAGGAGGGCTCCTACCTGCCATCTCACAGTTGGCATGCTTCCAATAAACAAGGGTTCATCTGTTTTACATTTGTGTCTGTGTGTGTACTTGTACGTAGAAAGTTGGCTGGGCTAGTCACTCTCTCAGCCCAAACAACCTCATGGGACTATAATGGTGGGGAAAATGAAGGAAGGGACAGTATATTCATTATTATTTCTTACCTTGAGTTACTTATAAAGTAATAAAGGCAGGCTAAAAATCTAACAAAATAGATAAACTAGATAAATAAAGTAGATAAATATTATTTTCTTTAGATGGAGGTTCATGGAGGGTGTAAGTATAGTAGCTTAATTTATATTGCAGCTGTTAGGTATCAAATTGTCCCCATTCTATTTTCTAATTCTTTGGGCTAAACTATAAATCCATAATGTGTGCCTTTCCTTTTACTGGATTGTATACTTTAGTG